GGGTTTATGCTTGCCACACTTCTTACAGATAGTTCGGCGGGTTTTAGGAACAGTCACCATGTCTGCGAGAGCTATCAGCAGGGAAAGGCAAAATATGATTTTCAATACAACTTTCTTAGAGTAAATCTATTTTAATATATCTGTATAAAAAAAACCTGTTACCATATAATCTTAGACACTGTTTTACACCCAACAGAATCTGCCTATATGTACATGCACAAGGTAACCTGTTTCAACATGGAAAATAATGACACCTTTTAAGTGTAGCATTTTTATTTGTGATGACTTCATCTCACATTACTTTATGTTTAAAATGCTTCAATTTATTATTTCTTCTTTCCTTTCCACCAGGAAATAAGAAACTTTACATGTTTGGCAGGAACGACTGGGGCCAGTTAGGATTAGGATCAAAGTCAGCTGTTTGCAAACCAACATGTGTCAAAGGTTTGGGGTCTTTTTTTCTTTATCACTTTAAATACTTAACAAACCAAAATACTTTTATATTGATTGTGTAGTTCTTTAGTATCATATTATAAATAATAAAGTATTTAGTTCTTTATTTTCTGATATTTACTTGAGCATTATTGACATTTAATTTCATTTTTATGATATGTTAGGGTCTAAAAATCATATTGATTTTAAATCCAGATGCCACAAAGAAAGTAATGATTCTACTGTATTGCACTTGAATATCCTTCCCCTCACCCCCCCCCATTTATAAATGTACTTAAATATTACTATTCTGTATATAGAGAGAGAACAAAATATAATGTTAGAATTTTGGGCTCTGTTTCATTTGTTAGATTTGAGGACATCATGGTTTTATGTAGTTTCTGGTTTTATAAAATACACTTTACCCTTCTGCATTTGGTGAGTAGATGTACTAAACAAAACATCAAGATTAGTCGTTGATTAGTACTAATGTTCTTCCAAGAACAGGAGAAAATATTTTAAATCAGAACTGTCCCAGAAAATAGGGGGCTTATAATATCTTTACAAAGTTTTTCGCTGTTATGTGCAAAGCTTCTGTTTAGGTATAACCTGTGAACATCAACTAAACTTGAATGACAATGGAGATTCCTTGGGATATGACAAGAGTAGCATTCTTTATCTTCCTAGCCAAATTTTTAATTTTAGCCCCAAATTTCAGTGTAATTTATGATATCCATGCCATTTTATAGGTGGTGTTATGGAATTTTAAAAGTATACTAAATTGGTCAAAAAATATTTATTGGACACAGTCTGCTAAACCCTTGTATGTATTCACAATACCTATGACTCTTACTCTCAAATATCTAATAGACAAGCTAACAGGAGATTCTTGACACCAGGGATTCTGTCTTAGTGTTCTTTGCAGCCACTATGCTAAGCACTTAGGATATGTTCTATAAAAGTTTTTTGAATGTATAAATGAACAGATGAACAACTTTAACAAAAGTTTATGTCTATGAATATTGGACTTAGTGTTTCTTTGAGGGAGGTGGAAGGTGAAATTGATGATGATAGATTACGTAAAAGATCACATTGATATGGAGGCAGCATAACAAAATGCAGTGGATCTCAGCACATATTACTTACCTGTGGAGTTTTTAAAAATATATAGAAGCCTAGGCCTTACCTCAGACCTACTAACTCAGTCTCATGGGGTGGAGCTAAGCTATGTGTATTTTTCTCAGAGCTCCTCTGGTTATTTTGATGCATGACTAGTTCTGAAAACTTTTGTTTTAGTAATTAAGAACATCAACGTTCCACTTAGATAGGCCTGGATCTCTGTTCTACTACTTATTTACCATTTGATCTGTATTATTTATCACTTTCATAATCATATCATATTTTAATTGTCATATTTTTAGCTTTAAAACCTGAAAAGGTGAAACATGTTGCCTGTGGACGGAACCACACCCTAGTTTCAACAGGTATGGTATTCAATCTGTATGACTTCCTGCCCAGTTTGAAGACTGAGCTCTCATTCCAGTACATTCGTAAGTTTCTAAAATTAATAGAAGTGATACCTTGGCAACAACAGTAAGATTAGGATTTTTTAGATTGTAAGTAGTTAGTACACTTGCTAGCCTTTTGAAAATATGCAGGTAAGTGGTAAATGATTGAAGAAAAAGGTTGTTTCCTTGGACTACGTCAAGAGGCAACAACTCCTTAACCATGTGCACACCTCATGGGCTGGTTGTTCCTGTTCTTTTTTTTTTTTTTTTTTAACATATTTTATTGAGTTTTTACAGAGAGGAAATGAGAGAGATAGAGAGTTAGAAACATCGATGAGAGAGAAACATCGACCAGATGCCTCCGGCACACCCCCTACTGGGGATGTGCCCGCAACCAAGGCACATGCCCTTGACTGGACTCGAATCTGGAACCTTTCAGTCCGCAGGCCGACGCTCTATCCACTGAGCCAAACCGGTTTCGGCTGGTTGTTCCTGTTCTTGCTCTTCCTTCTTCTTTTCTGAGGGTGAGTGGGAACCACCCCCTACCTCACATCAACCCCTGTTGATGTGAGTCAGCACAATTTCAATCAAAATCCAAACAGGCTGTGTGTGTGTGTGTGTGTGTGTGCGCGCGTGCGCATGTGTGTGTGTGTGTGTGTGTGTGTGTGTGTTTGTGTAGAAGTTGACAAGGTGATTCTTTTTTTGTTGTTCTTTCTTTTTTTTGTCTTATTTTGTTTTGAGTCTTAAGTTTTTGTGAAAAAGCAAAGGACTTAGAATAGCCAAAACAATTTTGAAAAGAATAAAACTGGAGGACTAGCACTACCTGATTTCAAAACCTACCACAAAGCTACAGTAATCAAGAGAATGTGCTGTTGGCCAAAAGACAGACAAAGATTAACAGAATAGAATCCAGAAATAGGTGCACATGTATATGCCTAATTAATGTTTGACAAGGTGCCAAGGCAATTCAATGGAGAAAATGTAGTCTTGTCAACAAATGCTGCTAGAACAATTAGACGTTCAGACCCTGGCCGGCCACCCAGTCCTCCTTACCTCCTTTCCCCTCCACACAGCTGTCTTTAGGATATTTTCACTGCCTTGGCTTCTCCTCACCTCTCTGCACTATGGAGACTTTTCCCTTGCTGGAATGTCTTTTCTCTTCCTCAGATTCTTTAAAGATGCAGTATTAGTGTTACTTCCATGGAACTTTTGGTGACTATTCATTCAACTTTTTACTCATGTGGTTCTCTGAACTATGCTATTTCATCAACTCTGGTTTACTCCATATGTATAAATTGTGTGGTCCAATTCCATGTGGCCTTGTAATATCTTCCATTTGAAAGCTAGTCTTATTTCATTTTTTAAAAAATATCTCCTTTTTAATTTTTACCGATTCAAACTGATTTTGCCCTGTTTCCCCTATTTAGCAAGGCTTTAACTTCATTTGCATTTTTATGGTGGATTTCACTAACTTTTAATATGCATATGCATATGTTTCAAAAAATATTACTTCAGAGCTTACTGGCAATGTTTATTATTTAGGCATGATATACTTCTTGTTTAAATAATAAAGTAATTAACAAATATTTATAATGCTTCTAATGAGCCAAATGCTGTTCTAAGAATTTTACAAATGTTAACTGATTGAAACTTTATAACAGCTCTATGAAGTAGGCATTATTATTATTCCTGTTTTACAGATGAGGAATAAGTTAAGTACAGCTTAACCTTGGATAGGTTAAGTACAGCTTGCCCAAGTTCTCACAGCTGATAAAAGGCAAGCCAGAATTTGCACCCAGGAAATATGGCTCTTGAGTCCTTTCTTCTAAACATAATACTATATACTGCCTTTCTAGTTAGCTATAAAATTAAAAGAAATATACAACATAGATTTTCATGTTTCTAATTATATTCTTCTTGGGTTTATATCATTTTACTTATTGGTTACCTATTATATCTTAGCTTTAATGGGTATGGAAGTTAAAATTAATGAACCACATATTTCTTACATGGTTTGATTTAGATTTTAAACTAATTTGGAAATTACTTCCTCTTTTCTGCTCTAAGTTAATAAAGTGCTGTGTGAATAAGAAAATACATTCCACATATTCTATGCATTTTAGATGCTACTGGGACTCTGGAATGATTTCTAAGGTCTCACAAAAATGTATATAGCAGGGGTCGTCAAACTTTTTAGACAGGGGGCCAGTTCATTGTCCCTCAGACCGTTGGAGGGCCGGACTATAGTTTAAAAAAAAACTATGAACAAATTCCTATGCACGCTTCACATATCCTATTTTGAAGTATAAAAATAAAACGGGAACAAATACAATATTTGTATTTGCATGTGGCCTGCGGGCCGTAGTTTGAGGACCCCTGGTATATAGCCTTGCTTATTTTGCTTCATTTTTGACAAATGTAGTTGTGCACCAAATTATAGGATAATATCAGCTTTCAGTTTTTTTTCACTGTTAATAGAAAAAATATCTGCTATACACCGGCCTATCTCATAAAGATGATGACTAGTATACAATGTTTTCTTTTCTGTGTGCAGAAGGAGGCAAAGTATATGCAGTTGGAGGAAATAATGAAGGCCAACTAGGACTTGGTGACACTGAAGATAGAAACACTTTTCATTTAATTGAATTTTTTACATCCCAGCATCAGTTTAAGCAGCTGTCTGCTGGATCTAACACTTCAGCTGCACTAACTGGTAAGACTTTTTGCCATTTCAAGCTAGGGCACATCCCTTTCCTTTAGACCAGGATATACCAACCAACTCAGTAAACTGAAGACAGCATTGCCATTTAATTTTCTTTCATTGATGATGTGTTTTCAGAAGGCATTTAAAATAGAACTTTAAACCATGACTTATGTTACAATTGTATGCTTATTTAGAGTTAGATGTCAACATACATTTTGAAGGTAATCCTATCTAATAAAAGAGAAACATGGTAATTAGCCATACCTCCACTACCCTTCCCATTGGCTAATCAGGGTGATATGCAAATTA